GTTCTGAAGGCAAAAGGGGGTCCAACCCATTACTAGCGTGGTGTACCTAATAAAGTGGCCGGTGAGTGTATATATAGTTTTTCCTTTTACTGTGCATGCTTGTACTGCCTCAGTTAAGCCTAAAGTTTAGTTTAAAACAAAGGCACAGTTTTTGCACATCCTGTTCCTTCCTGTCTGTTGACCAATAGTAGAGAAGCTGGCCCAAGAAGGACCGCCCACCTTATTTACATAATGAAGCAGATAAAAATGTAAAACCAATGCATTAATATAAAAAAACTTGTGGGAAAAATTATAAAAGAAAAATTAAATATAATCATTTGAGACACAAGTGCATTTTAATGTATTTATTTATTTATTGGTCCATTTATATAGTTCTGCTTTTATTTTTAATTACGTCACTTTCAGTCCTCCATATGGAGCAACAACACATTATTTTGGTTTTACACTGTAGAAAATGTACCTGAAGCAACAAAGGTTCAATGTCACTCATATCAAATAATTATAGATGATGTAATAAGTGAAGGATGTAAGACTGAAGCTCAATATAAACATTTTTTCTCTTTACACTGTATTACCATATTTTTTAATTTACCCTTTGTCATCTACTACAAACTGTGAATTTTGTATTGTTTTTATTTTTACTTTCTTCTTTATAGCGAGTCGAACAGTTTCTTCTTATTGTAAGAATTTCATTGCGTTGTTGACTTTTGTTAACCTGCACATGACAATAAGTCTGAAGCTGAACAGCAGGAGGCAGCAGATATGACTGATATTTAAGTTTTAGTCCAATCTTTAGATAATCCATTTGCCACATTTTTCCTTTTGCATTATTTCTTTGTGTCTTGTCATTTTTTCCATTAGAAATATTTCTTGAACATCATCAGTCCATTGATTAAACATGAGTGGTTCAGGGATGAACCCTTTCTGAGTTACTGCTTTTCTCACCGCTGTCAGTATTTTGTACTGGTCTTTTTTTGACCAATGTTGTGATAAAAGATAAAAATATTAAAGTCAAAGTATTTTATATTTTCTTTAGTGACAAATAGCAAAAAAGCAAAAAAAAATACAAAATTAGCAGATGAATTGGTCAGAATGATAAATGAGCAGAAAAAAAACCAAAATAAGCCAAACAGACACTGAAGGATTACTGAGTGATTTCCACAAATGAGTGATGCTGCTGATTCATACGTACAGAAAATTAAGCTTCCTGATGGTTTACAGAATAAAATCYCATTATCCTTTAAACATTAGCAATCTAAAACATAATTGTGAGATTAGTGTTCAGCAACAGGATTCAGGCAGGAGAAGACCAGGTCACAGGTGAGGTTCAAAAAAGGTCAAAACTTTAATAATGAGCAAAAAGAGCAGCAAAGCAGCTCAAAAACWCTAAATACAGACAAAATCTTACCACGCAGAAGAAACAGGAAGCAGGAAACACAATGATCTGACAAACACTGATGACAAGACACAGAGTATAAAGCATTGGGACATTGGGAAACACAAGAGGAAACAGGTGAGTGTGGGCGGGGCTACACGGGAACAGAGAAACACCTGMAAAWGAAAGCAAAAACACAGATCRTGACAATACTTTTCAAGTCRTCCCTTTAYTTTCTGTCCTTTTGTTGTGTTAAACTAATGATCCTGAACTTTTTTGTCCCTAAATTATATTGAAACATATAATAAGCTGTTTGTATGAATCTTACTGTATCTATAGAGTTTAAACACCTTCTTTTAGAAATTGATTAGTAAATATAGGTAATCTGTGTACTAATTAAAAGATCAATACATTGATTTGTGTGTTTGACTGTGTCTGATGAGATTAAGCTGAGTCAATGTTGACATAAAGGCTGAAGAAACAAACTGCTGTGTGACTTTATTTTTRGCCGACTGGACTTTATTCAGACTTCTATACAACCTCAACACTGAACAAGTTGTTGTGTAAAGTGTTAATAAAAACAGAACGCAATGATTTCCAAAACCCATAAGTCTAAATTTTATTCACACTGGAGAACAACAGACATATAAAATGTTTTAAAGGGCCTTTATTATGTGTTTCTCAGGCATATATTTAAATACTATACCATAATAAAGTATCTATGTCACCTTTAGCTGTTATTAAAATGCTGTTTTTATGTTTA